CTTGCATGTCTTAATGCATGTGTCATACCTTGTCCATATTGAGGATTAAATGCACAAATTGCATCACCTAATAATATATAATTTTGGGGCCATTTTTTACCTAATAATTCAACATACTTTCGATCATCGATCGCACAATGATATGAAATTAATGAACTATATACTTTGACTGTTTTTAGTATTGTATAGTATTCTGGATCTAGATTTTCTTTTGCCCATTCTAATAAGTTTTCATTTGTATCATTTGGGTGTGGGTGTGGATGTGTAGGTGTGTGTGGGTGTGGGGGGTGTGGGTGTGGGTGGGGGTGTGGATGTGGGTGTGTGTGTGGGGGGGGGGGGGGGGGGTGGGGGGTGTGATAGAGAAGAGTCACACCCACACCCCACACCCACACCCACCACACCATACACCCACGCCCACACTCACCCACACCCACCACAGCATACACCCACGCCCACACTCACCCACACCCAGCCACACACACCCACACCCACACTCACACTTTTTTTGACTCACAACTTGACGCGACTTGACTTTGATCTTTCATTTTTTGACTTGGCTTGACTTGTGAGTGGACAAAAAAGCTTGTCAGCGCAGCCCCTTTGGGGCTGAAATGTGGAACTCACATATCTTCCTCAACTTAATACATATAGCTTTTTCGCTCAAATCAATTATTAGAAAAATAAAAAAAAAAAGATAGAAAACAATGATTATATTAACAATGAAAATAACTTCAACAATATTATTTCTTCAATAGTAAACTTTACTTATACCGAAATAACCAGTATAATTAGTGATATTTCTATAGTTAAAGATAATGAATTGTCTCATGAAAGTATGTTAAATACTACGTTTATTTCATAATTTTTAGTAAAAAGTATTTTACCCTTTTTAGCCGAAGTAAATATTGAAATCTGAACACATCTCATCAACAAATAAACATAAAACATTATTGATAGTACTAAAATATATGAACCTTTATCAAAAAGAAAAATATTTATATTAGAGTAACAAATAATATTGCTCACACGTAAACTCTTCTATAATAAATCCAATTTTAAATTAAAATAAATTTTATATAGATATAATTGTGCCAACAGAAATTGAATTGAAAAAAAAACTAGCTAAGAGCGAGCGTATCGATCCATAATTGTCACTACGTTTTCCTTTTTTATTTTCTTTAACTTAGAATTTTAATACGTATGCTTCGCTACAAAAATCTCTTATTTCTGCATGCTTAACTACAATTCAGATTAACTAATGACTTCAGTACAGTCAGTCAAAATCATTCTTCAGAAAATTAAACGTTGCTAAGGTCTGTAATGGGGGTGTCTGTAATGGCGACCTGTCTGTAATGAGGGGGGTGTCTGTAATGGGGTGGGGGGGGGAGGGAGCCGCCAAACCTCGAACTGAAAACTTACACTCACTATTTTCTTCGAAAACATACGTGAGTTCCACAAAATACAAGTCAAGTCAGATATTTTTTGCAACTTCAATGCATATTAGATTCTATTCGGGTTAGATTTGACCTGTGCGTATAAAATGAGGTCCCAAACAGACTAGACGAATAAACAATGAATTGAGAAATTCTTAATTCATTGTTTATTCGTCTAGTCTGGTAGGTCTTACAAAAGAAACACTGTCTGACATCGACATTCACAAGTATATAAGCAATCATACGGCTGAGTGTGCATTATACGTGATACCTATTGTATTAAACTGGTTAGATCAATTACAACTTGTATTACAACTGAATATGAGTGATTTAATTTCACAAGTTGATAGTCATCTTTTACATGATTTTTCTCACAAAGTAGCTTTATATTTCGGCAACATAGGGCCAGAATGTCAAGGAAGACATTACAAATGTTAACTATGTTAAAATGTAATCAGGGACTTATGTAAATTTTTTTTCAATAAATTGATACACAACTAAATTATGAAATTTAAAAAAAATTCAAGTCAATGATTTGGGACTTGACTTGTCTTGACTTGCAATGGCGTATCTCAAATTGATGACTTGACTTGACTTGGTTCTCTTTGACAAATGACTTGACTTGACTTGAGTGAAAAAAATAGCTGACTTGCCCATCTCTGTGATGTAGCATCAGCACACTATTAACTACTTATATTTTTAATATTTGTGTGTTGAAATTAAGAATACAACTTAATGCTTTAGTATTAGTATAAAAATAAAGTATGTAACATTAAAGCTCAGAAGAACTGTATTATATAATGTTTTAACACTAATATACAAGCTTCAATCTAGTTTCTTGATTGTAATACAAAAGTATTAGCATTTTTCTAACGCTACTGCTAAGCTCACTATCCCTAGCTAGACTACGTTTGCAAAAGTTGTAAATAGTGCAGTATTTTTATTTTTGTACAGATATTAATTTAACTTTAAGATATCAACGATGATTGGTAGTGATGCATCTATCTGCCATAGTTACCATTTGATCAACATAAAAAAAGTGACTTGATCTATATAGTATTCAGAAGTTAAAAAAAAGAAAAATTTAAAACAAATGAGAATAATAAACTGATCTTATAGATTTAAATTAAGTAATTTTTAACTTAAATTCAAATCTAGTCCAGTCTAGGACGTTGAAGAACTCACATGTATATTTAATTGAAATTTAATTAAACTTAGCAAGCTTCAACCAATAAAAAGGGTCGTGTCATTAAAGTCATATTTATTTGAGTACTATATTTTTTTCACATTTATTTGACTTCGAATTTGACCTTACTCATAGATGATATTTTTAGTACGAATATATTATACTGTTTAATTCTTTTGAATTATATTCCAATGAAAAACACTGAAGGACATTTTTAGCTTATGTTTTCCTGAGGTAGCATAATAACTGTCTTCCCTCAATATTAGATTCTCAAAAACTTAATATATTGATTTTCTTATTCATAAAAATACTTTGAAACATCATTTTCTGAAGTCGATGCAGAAGTCATGCATACATGCATTACGACATGAGCAAGTGAATATATATATTCTGTCTATTTAAAAGAAATAACTCTGTGCCATGTTCTCTTAGTGAAAATGAGATTTAGAATTTCTTTTTAAACCAGAAGAAATTTATTTCATAATTTTAGATCTGATTGAAAACGAAATCTACTTAACTATATTTTCAACTAAGAAAAACTTTGACTGTGACATACATATATATATACACAAATAAATAGATCAAGATGAATAAATATCATCTTCTACAAACATTGTATCGAAACACACGAGTGTTCGTGTTAATTTATCAAAACGTTCCGTGTATTATTTTTATTATAAAAAGTGTATAATTGTAAAAAAAACAAAAAATGTTGATATAGCACAAGTCTTTTTTTTTTATTTTTGATCAATACAGCATCATCATTTAGTTATCAGTTTGTCATTTAATAGTTATACCATTATTTTGAACTGGCATCACCAATGAAAAAGAAAATCTCCATTTGTCTTAAATCGCTGAAATTTAATAGATTATTCATCAAGAAATATTGTTTATGACAGAACAATAAATTAGTTGCCAAGTTCAGATGGGAATAAAATTATTTTATTTTTCATATTGTTTACATCGTGTGCTCTTATTGAAAATATATTCAATTATTTAGTTAATTTTCAAGATAGTGAGATGACTTTTACATTATTCGATTCAGCAAACTTGTGACCTTAAATTACATTATTACCATCAGTAAAGTATATCATTTCTATGATGAAATAACAAAAATGGCATCGTTTTATTTATTCGGAAGATAAACAGTCTTGCATTGATGATTATTGACGTATAGATGAATGGACATATCTCATATGTGCCCGAAACGAATAGGAAAACGAATATGATGTTGTACCGTTGAAATACTAATAAACAGGGTATATTTAACAAAACATTATCAACATTGATGGCAAACTATAAATTATGAATAAATCGTGTTTCTTATCACTCGACTCTGAAACAATGTTTTTTACTTTCAATATGCTTCAACGAATTCAGAGTTGTACAAGTAGATTAGTGATTTTCTATTCATAGTTTTATTTGCCCTACTATATATGTCAATGTAATGAAGCTTGACAAACATACCTTCTATTGTTTCATAATATTTATAGAACTTATATTAAAATTTCTTGCAGTCACTATTTCAGGCAAAATTAGCGAATGAATATATTCTATCATCCATAAACGACTTCATTTATTAACATGACACAAACACTATAACAGTATCAAGCATTAATAGAGATTCATTCTTTTTCTCTTCTATTATTGCTGTTGATGAAGAGAATGAAAAGAGAAAAATCTTGTGCTTCATTAAAACTACGTGACAAATTATCGTATAGTCTTCATTTGAATAAGTTTTATCTATGCTTGTTCATAAAAATATGGCAAACGATACTGTTGTTGATTTATCGAATAAACTAGAAACATCAAAGTCGCGATCCATTCGATTCTGGATTCTACTTCCATGCGGCATAGTTTCGTGTGGATGTTGCATTCTTCTTCTTTATTTTTTGTTAAGCATTCGGAAACTTCGACATGCATTGAATAATCATGTTATTATTGTTCTAATCATTCTTGAATTTCTCTATATTATAATCGATGTACCACTCTATCTCAATTTTCTTCACTTGAATTTTGTATGGCCTCAAACACAAGCTACATGTCTCGTATGGTGGATATCACATCATGGCTTACATGAAACCATAACTATTTTAGTGGCTTGGGCATCATTTGAGAGGCACATTTTGGTCATAGATAATCAATGGGTATCAACCAGGAGAAGAACAGCATGTTTTCATTACCTTCCCTTAGGTATAATTCTACTTTACGGAACAATTTTCTATGGCGTGACTATTTTCTTTCCGCCATGTCAACATCATTTTCAATACACAGAAGAATGGTGTTCATTGCCATGCTTATTCACTAATCAAGTTTTTCTATTATATCACACAGTGGTCAATGAAATTCTATTTACTATTCTCATTGCTATATTCAGCTTTATGCTACTTGTTCGTATCTTATTGCAGAAACGAACACGTTTTCGTCAACCGATTCAATGGCGCAAACATCGTAAAATGGCTATTCAACTATTTGCAATATCATCTCCTTATCTTTTTTTTAATCTACCCGAAATGATTGGTTCTCTGGCAAAACCATTTGGTTCAACATCCGAGATCGCTATAACTTTTGAGCTATGGTTGAATTTTATCAGCTACTTTGCCGAGATACTTCTTCCGCTTATTTGTCTCGCCGCTCTCCATCCTAAACCATGGAGTCGAAGACATCGATTAGTAAACGCTGCAACCATCACATTGACCAATCAAACACGTCGAGTTAAAAATACATAACAAGATGATGATAATTGAGAACAATGAACATGCAAACGAGTTGCATCTAAGAAAAAAAACAAAATAACTAGACTGAAACATGAATGTGTCAAACTGTTTAACAGGTCATTAAGTTATTTTGAATGAATCGCAGATTGTGCACTGTATCCATTGTTAGCTTGTAGTGTTATTTATTCAATTATATACTTGTTTATTTATTGATGTATGTAACGCGTAAACGAAATAAAACTTAATACTTATTTGCCAGCAATTTTTATATAGGTTTCACAGTTTGCACTAAACAGGGTGTGAGTATGAGTGCATGAAAGATCAGGGTACACTCACGCCCTCGATGTATGAGACAATTGATAATATAGAAGATCCACACAACTTTCATAAAAACGCTTGACGAATTCAAAAAAAAGCGACTTGTTCATACATTACATTTGGCTAGATAATTTAATCATTTATCTTGTGACTATGAAACAATTGGCAATATGACATGTGGATTTGAATCTTATGAAGAAATGATGAGCATTGTACATTATTATCCTCCTGACCATTGACTTTGTCAAAAGATTGAAAGAAATACTTATCGAATTAAACAATAGATTTCAATCAAATAGAGATTGTAACACTTATTTAACTCTTGAAAATGTATACCATTTATTAGTCTTTCACCATTAACCTATGCAAACAGACATAACTTGATCGAAAAAATGAATTTGACAAGACAAAATTTTACAGATTTTTCTTTTTTTTTTTCTATAAAAAAATCTGTTTTTTTTTTCCGGTGAATAATTACACATGTTTATACAAAACAATAGAAAAAAAAAGATTAAATTGTTCATTTTATTCTTTTCATACGAACAAAGTCAAATTGACATGAGCAAGATCATTGTTTTGAGTTCTTTTAATAAATAAAAAAATTAAAGATGATTTATGAATCATGTCAAAATATTTTAAAAATACTGAATACTTCAATTCAATATGGTGACAAATGAAACCAGTTAATGTAACCATAAATACATCATAATGCCAAATCTGAAAATTGCATTCAATTATTGGATTCCTTAATATCTTTATATATGAGTTCCGTTATTGAAAATCTTTCAAATATTCAATTATTCGTCTCTCGTTAAGAATACTACGGACTCACATACAGGACATTTCTCTCGAATATCTGAAAGACTCTTGACTAATTGAATTCAACTTTAAAATTTGACATGTACACTTTTTTGGAATCGACGAGTATAGAATAAAATATATTTTTTTGTTGTTTAACCTATTACACACAAAAAAAAAAAGAAACAATTAGAAATTGTTTCGATTGGAATGATCAATGAAAATGAGTAATTTGATCTTTAAGTGCTTATCAATATACTATATCGTAAATCGAGTAAATCAATAACAGGGTATACTATTTATTGGTTTTATCTGTTCTCAGTGAATGGACAGAATAAATAATTACTATTGAAAAATATTTTCTTTCTTTTTTAGTTAGTTTTACAATAAAAATCTTTTTTTTTTTTTTGTTTTTTTGAATTCTAAATCAGAAAATGATCTTAACTGAGATTTATTTTGTTCTTTTGTTTCTTGCCATGGTACGATCAAAACAAATATCTTTTTTTTATTAAATTAAAACGAGAAAAATCATTTTTATAGCAATTATTTGAGAATAATTATCGAAGATCTAATTGTTTTATATTGTATATGAATGCATATGTTTTAATTAAATCTATTTATTATCAATGATAATACAATAATATTTTAAGTAATTGAAATTTGATAAAGAAATAGATAAGTCTATTTTCGTTGTCATTGATATATCAATTTCATTTTTTTTATCTCTTTAATTTGTTATTTAAATGTGTACTATAAAATATTTCGTATAGCTCATTATTGAAACAAAATCAAAGAATCTTTATCAACAATAAACAAATATCCATAATGTTCTCATTACGTATTATATTATTGATGTTTATTATATTATTATTATTAAATTGTTATTGTCAAGGTCAAAATGAAATTCGTAATGCTGCTAAAGCTAAAGCTAACAGAAAAATCAATAAAGGAAGACAAAATGTTAGATTTGTTAAAGATAGAACTCGTGGAAAAATTGATCGAACTGGTGCCAAAATAAATCGAAAACAAAAAAGTACTAGACGAAAAATGCATGTTATTAAAAAAGTAATTAGATCATAATATATATTATTTATTCTACAAGAACATCATTTATCATTTTACTATACATTATGTTCTTTCCTTGTAATTGTAAAATAAAATTTTATTTATCATTATTCAAGTGGAATATAATCATTTTTGAAAATAAAATAATTAATAATTAAGTTATTCAGATTATTTTTATTGATTTATCTTTACTTATTATTAATGACAGTTTCTATTAATTATGTGAGAGATGACAACAAGAATTAAGTTAACATTTACTTTTATTTTAAGTGTAATCAATAAATAACTATTGAGTTTAAATAGAAAAATAATTCTTTTTTAGGTTAAATTATCTTCATTTCAGAATATCTTATTTTAACTAATCATTCATTACCAAATCGATTGCTCATTAAGTCACTTGATGACAGTGATAGTTAGTGTTAAATATAGAACGAAAAAATAACATGAACACATCTTTATATCGATCTCTATGAATCTATTTTTATGTTCACTTTAACTTTCAACATATGATAGAGAAATTTATTCTCATCCATGCTTTGTCTACAGGAAAGTGACTTGATAACCAACTGAGTTGGCATACAATATCAATCATATTCAATTCAAATTTGTCATATATGATAAATGCATAAAACTTGTTATTGCATATTTTACAGACGAGCAACCGGCGATCTACTTTTACAAGGAAAAGAAAAATTAAAACTTCACATAAGTACAGAAATTATTCTAAAGAAAATCAATTGTAAATTTAATCAAACAATTGAAATCATTATATCAAGTAAGAATTTTCTACTACAATAAACTAACACACAAGAATACAGAGACAAAAATATTTTTTCTATATTGAACAAGAATTTTTCTAATGTACGACCAGTTAACAAACAATTTTAAAGAAAACATTACATTTATGTTAAAATAAAATAGCCTTCTTGTTAGAATAGTTTATTAAGACAAGACTACATAGTTCAGTAATCAAAATAAGTTCCTAATTCTTAATCTACTTATAGTAATTTTTATCATTCGGCACTATTTTAAGTTGAATTACTGAATTTTACGGTACTTTTAAAGAGAATTCCATAGTCTCTCTAATGAATACCTGAAAAACTACTTTTTGAATTTCAAGTTGAAACTTAGCAGAGAAATAGATCTTAACTAGAATAGTTTATCATGAAAGTTTGAGATCTTTTGATTTGCGTCAATAGAAACGTCGAATCTGTCAGTTTATATGAGTGATGTAAAAGATACGCTTTTATTATAGTCGTATTTTAGAATAGAAGCAAACCCAAAGATCTGAAACTTCTACAATAAATTATTTTCATTAAGACCTGTGCATATACAAAGTTGTAAGTTGAACTTCGAAAATTAGTTTTTTTTATGTTCCTGAGGAGGACTACGGCATTCTCTTAAAAGATATCCTAAAAGGTCAGTATCTCGGCAGTCATAAGCTGTGAGTCCGAGTCCTTTTCAGGGTATTCATAGCTTATTTTGAATTATGTGATGCGTATACTCTCGAGTCAAAAGTGACTAATCGTTTAGTTGCTTTTCCTCGTCGGTTCATGTGTCCTGGCTTTCCGAAATGACAGAACGAATAAAAAATGCTCTGTGACGGTCTCTGATAGGTAGCTATTGAAATCTCATTCAATCTTTCTGTAGATTATTCTGATAGGTCAAATTATATGACGACAACAATCTACAAGAAAAATAAGCATGTCCTTTTAACATTCCATCATATTAGTCGGATAGAAACGTTTTTCGTCAAATTGGTCTATTTGCGAATCAATAATAGGAGAAACAATATTTTTGCTTTTTTTTGTTCACTATAGAGCATCACCTGCAATGTATGAGTCAGTCATTGATTAATGTAGGATCGTGTTTACATATAACCATTCTCCTATCTTGTAGAAATTTTTAGATAGGTAAAAAAAAAGTTATTTTTATGTTTGCATAGGATTTAGTTTTGTAAATAAAAAACTTTTTAAAACAAAATTATTTCAATAATTCAAATTGATTGATATTTTCTAGGATTTTTATTCGAAAATGAATAGAATATAACTAACAGAAAATAGTGGCGGATTTAGGAGACGTGACGTTGAAGGTGATTGTAATTGAAAAGGCGTTTTCTAATCCAAACCGTCCCCACCATAAAAAATCCTAGATCCTCCACTGACAGGGAAGACTCTCTTTTGTTTTCTTCTATTAAAATCATTAGACAAACCATTGTTCATATATTTATTTATCCGGATCGACTAAGGCAAATGAGTTATTGGACTGTGTGAAGTTTAACAGAGATGATAAGAAGAGCATCTGAGTAGCAAAGTAATGCATACGGTGATGATAGTATTAGAAATGATAACTTCCAGATGAAAGGTTTTTGATAGTTGCTATTAAACACTTATATTACAAGTCTTTAGTACATTATTTAGATTTTTTTGCAGACAAGTATTTACAATGAACATCAAGAAGAATAATCTCGTTGTCAAACTAAAAACTTTTTGTTTTTGACAAGTCTATGTTTTTTATTGATATGACAGTTTAAAACAAATGAAACTTTTTTGACAAACTACAAGAGAAATATGGAATACAACGTTTGAGAAAAAAAAAATCTATCGAGAAGAAAGACAGATATCGGTGATAATACATGTTACATCAAAACTAAATAATATCTCATCTATTTTTAATCGTATTAAATGAATTCATTTTATAATGGAACAAATTCAAAGATGTTGTGATATTATATCTCAATGAATTTTTCATTCCAAAAATTATTCATTTTATTAATTTCAGAAAAATTAATTTGAAAATTTATCATTACTTATTCTATATCAATTGAATATATTAATATTAACTATTTGATCAAGATATGTTTGAATTGAATAATTTATTTTAATCAAAGTAAATATTAATGTATAAATAAGTATTGATTTTCTTAAAAAGAAAAACGATTTCTTCACTTATTTTATTGAAAAATGTTCTAAAATATAAAATCGAGTTAAATATATTTAAATTCAGAGAACAATTTAAGATGTTTAATTTTTATTTAAATAAAACATATTTGTTTATTTTATTAAATAGAATCAAAATTAATATTAATATTTAAAAACTTTATACATAAACTATCTTCTATTAAATGTAAATTAACTTATCTTGAATTGAATATATCAAACGATAATTCTTCTTCCACACCCAGGTGTATAGGTGATTTCTTGTTGAATCTTTTAATAAAAAAGATATCTTGATATAAACCAAACATGTAAATACTAGTAATAGAATATTTTTGATGAATGAAATTTCATAATTTGAAATGATTTGTTTCTTTTTATTTTTAGGCATCAGATAAATTACGAAAAAAATGTATTAAATACTGTTCGACATATTGAATTTTTGTCTTTCGCACTATGCTCGTGATTCAGACGAGTCAGTTTAATATGGAAAAATATGTTTTATCTTTTCTCAGTAATTATACACGATATTTAGAAATATTGGGTCTTTGACTAGATGATGATTTTCGTTGCACATCAAGTAAGTTAATATTTTTAAGTGAAATATAAGATGATGATAATGCTAGATTCAAGTGAATTTTTTCTTGTTAAATTATTTATGGTTTTAAAAAATTTGACAAGATGATTATGAATATATTGTTTTTACTATAATTCGACTATGAGTTGATGGAAAAAGACTAGAATGATTGAAAGTTTAGCATTTGATAATTAAAATTTACTTGAATATTTCAATTATTGTCATCGGACTTCTTAATGTAAGAAAAATAGAAAAATTTTTCAATTGAAAAAATTTGTTCATAATAAAAATTATTATTAAATAATGTTTCCTTTTTTTTTGTTTAAGTTCGAATAAACTATGAAATAAGATACATGCATGATGTTCTAAGTAGACAATCGATAGAATCTTTACAAAAATCTCAATTAATTGATAAGTTTCCTAAAAAAGATTTTGAAATAAATTATTAATAAAATTCTTTGTTTTTCAACATGTTGCTTTTTTTTTGAACAAGATCTTTATGAATTAGTTCAACAATTGAAAAAATTATTTTTCTAGATATCTATGAACAAAACGATCGTAACAAAATTGAACTTTATCGTTCTATGGTTAAAATACGTTTTCCTAATAGCCAACTGTATATCGATAGTTCCAAATTTCGTCTTTGGTTAAAATTTATTTGTTTTTCTTATAGTTATTGATTAATTAATAGAAAGTTCTTAAATTGAATTATCGTTTTTTTTTTTGTATAATATTAAGTGACATCATGCATCATTAATGTTTTTCTTCAAT